TAGTTCTGTTTAAAGTAACTGATTATAATTAAAAATATCTGCAGACCTTTACTGGTTGCTAATTATTTTTATATGGACCCTGTTGATTTTTAATTGGTACCCCAGCTCTAAATGTTTCTAGTCTGCAATGCTAAAACAGGATCGATAGGTTGAATCTTGCAAAAGAACAAGAACCTTGGAATTGTTTTAGCTTAGCTATTATCTTATAAAGTAAAAAATGTTTTGGTGTTATGCTTGCTGATGAATCCCTGCCATGGGTATTTTAACCTGCATCATCAACATTATGAGGCTGCCATCTTAGCCTCAACCAGGCGCTTCTTAATGTGCATATATAAATGATGATGGCGTTGTCTTCATCATGTATGTAGTGGTGGAATCAGCAAGGTCACTGTCTAAGGCCTGTGCTGCTCTGCTACAAGCTCTCAGTGGCAAAATTTGTCATTCATTCAATGTCTGTGTATTGATTATCCCCTCCATCCTGCCTCACCAGTCCCTCTGCGTGCCCTGAGCTGATCAATGTGTGCATAGCTCCTTCGATGCATAGCGGCGATAATGAGGCCCCAGAGGATATCATTGAATTGACAGATTAATCAGTTTAACCCAGTGAATAGAGGCCGCACTCAGGCCAACAGTGCTGCTTGGATTATAAAGGAAAATGCTGTACTGTGTATGTAGATGAAGGTAGAGGACGGTAAAGCAACATGTGTGGGATGTTGTAACGTCGAGTATTGCTGTGTGGAGGATGCACTGCATGAAAAACAATCTGACTTTGTTCCTTTTTGTCATCTTACTGTTTCCTTTCAGGGCTGAAGGATGTTTACCTCCGTGAAGGCCTTTGAGGGGCAGCAGTACTCCACCCTGAAGAGGCAGTGCTTGCAGAGCGGCCTCCTGTTTGAAGACCCCCGCTTCCCCGCCACTGATGACTCGCTTTTTTACCAGGGCAACAGGATCGGACGTGTCGTCTGGAAGAGGCCTCGGGTAGGTCGGTTTGTGGTCCTGTGAATTTTGTTTGCTTTGGTAGATCTAAGGCTACGTTCAGCAGCCTGCAGTGACCCAAATCAGATTTATTTGATCTTTTCATGACAGTCTAAACAACTCAGATACCATTTTTTCCAATGTGACCCAGGCCACTTGGCTCTTGTCAAGGAAGAAATTATTCTAAAATAGTTAACTTTGGAAAAAGGTTGGCTTCTCTCTTCCTTTCCCAGGTTCCTCTCGGCGAGCTGCGTGTGGCCACAAG